ACAGATCTGTCTTGTAAGTAGTGCCTCCAGAATGCTCCTTAGAGGCGAGGGAGGTGAGGCTGTCTCACGTACTTTGGATGTGTCGTCTGGCGGAAGAGAAGATGTTTGGGGAAGTAGAATGGGTCAGCAAAGAATGCAAAGACCCTCAAAAAGGTGGATTAGCGCAGTGGCTACAATAAAGGCCTCAAACACAGCAGTGATTGTGAGGCTGATCTAGGATTTTGATCTGCCTTCCAAAGGGTCACTATGAGTCAGAACCAACTTGTTAAGCACCATGGAGTCAACTACAGCTCATGGCAAGCCTATCAACAGCAGATCTGAACCTCACGCTATCCTGCACCGTCTTCACCTTCTCTGACATGCTCAAGCCCATTGTTATAGTCACTGCGTTAACCCATCTTTTTGAAGGTCTTCCTCTCTTTCTCTGATCCCTCCACCTTTCCTAGTATAATGGGGATTTTTACCAAAGACTGACCCCTCTGACAATGTTCTCAAAGTATGTGAGGCGAAGTTTCACCATCTTTGCCTCTAAGGAGCACCCCGGTTGAGCCTCCTCCAACACAGATTTGTTTGTTTGTTTGCTTTACAGTAGTCTGTGAGATATTCAGCACTTTTCTCCAACATCACACCCATTCAAAGGCATTGAGCCTGTCATCTTTATTCACTGTCCAACTTTCAGATGCCTAGGAAGTAATTAAGAAGGCCACGGCTTAGACTAGGCACATTTTAATTTTTAAACTGATGTTATAGCTCTTTAAGGTTTTGGAGAAGTCTTTGGCAACAGACATTCCCAGTGTAACATGTCTTTTGATTTCTTGACTGCTGTTACCATGAGTGTTGATAGTGGGTTTAAGGAAAATGAAATCGTTAACAACTTCAGTCTTTTCTCCACTTATCATGATGATACCTATTGGTCCAGTGGTAAGGATTTTTGTTTTCTTGATGTTGAGATGTTATCCAAATTGGAAGATGTAGTATTTGATCTTCTGTAGCAAGTACAGGTCATGGTTCAATTTCACTAACAATTCTGTGGAGAAAGATGTGGTAGTCTTCTACTGAAAAGATTTGTAGTTTGGGAAGATTTGCACCAGGGCAGTTGTAGCCTGTCATGTAGGGATACTATGTGTTGGAAACAACTCCAAAGAAATAGGAATTATTTTTCCGTGAGGATTGACGGTACTACTTATTTTTATAAAGTGTTGAGAGCACTGATGGAGGTTGTGTCTTGTCATCAAGTTAATCCTCAATTTAAGATGACCCCACACATAACCAAATGAAATACTGTGCCTTCCTCATACTTGGTTGGGCTTTGGATTATTGTGATCCACAGGGTTCTCCTCAGATGATTTTCAGAAACATTATCTCCAGGCCTTTCATTCTGGTTCATCTTAGTCTGGAAGCTTTGCTGTAACCTATGGAGCAGCACAGTAACACACAAACCTCTGTTGATAGATAAGTGGCTATAACTGGAGATGCACTGGGGGCGGGTGAGGGAAAGGGGGACTGAGCCAGGATCTCCAACGTAGGTGAGATTTTTACCACTATACTAGTACTGCCCTCTGTGGAACACAATGATCCCCACATTTGTGTTTGTTAGGTAAAAAGAATGGATTTTCTCTCTCTCCTCTTCATTTACTCTTCTCCTTTCCTCTCCCCTTCAACCTAGCCAAACCAAACTTAACTGCACACACTTTTTTTTCTCTTCTTTTTTTCTTAGTAATTTCAATCTTTAAATGAACCCTATAGCCACTCCCTTCAACTTTTCAGGGTGCTTTCACATCTCTGACCTCTTTTTCTGCTTACTCTTTGTTTTTTG